TGTTTGTCTTCTAAATAGTCAATTTCAACACCGAATAAAATAGACGTAGGTGAGAAAAATTGATCATAAGTATGAATAACATAATCACTGGAAGGAGCTCAGCAGAGTGAAAATTCGAACTGGCTGAACGCGTGTTCTGTAGCAGCATCACCAATCTTTGGGCGGCGCATGGGATAACAGTCGCGAATCGAGGACACGGAAGAAGTCTGCCAAATACGAGACCGGATAGACGTTGGAGGCGGCTGTGCCCAACGCCCATTGTGCATGCTACGTAAAACGGAAGGGAATCAACTAGAGAGAGAAACGTTGCGATAAGTAACTCCTTAAAACCCCATTTGGTCAACGAATATGCCGTCCGTGTAACAAATGTACCTTTTGTAGGTCAAAAACCATAGAATTTAATGTTACAAAATACTGAAACAGCGTGCATTTTGGTAAACTACAGACTCCTCGATGTTTGCGTGGGTTCCATAATGGGGAGGCATATTTCCCAACTTGAAAAGCAAGTTGATCAACAAAATCGGTCTATGAGAAGCAATACTGTGGGCGAAGTCACTCCAATACTGGTGGATTTTCGCCTAACTAGGCTGAAAGGTTCAAAGATGCATGGTCGTCCAGACCATTCTTGAGTGGACAAGAGTTACTGGTGAGGGATAAACAAAACTTTGTATCGTAAATGTTCCGATGGTTTCCAACGATATGCGAATCAGGATAAACCGAATGCTCGCACCTCAAACACGCACGGCGGTTTATTATGTCGCTTGCGTGTAGCCTACACATACGTTTGCAGTGCTATGACAAAGCGCACTGGGCTTTGTTGTTTCGTTGCATCCTAGCGGGCAGACGTATTGGGACACACAAAGACATGGTTGCATTCAGAGTTATGCACCCAGGAACTTGAACGCAAAGAATACTATTGCATCCGATGCAATAGACTAAAGAATGCCAGTGTCGGTGTCTTGCTTTACATTCAGTCTACCTTGCGTGGAAGACTTGTGAGCACCTACCAATGTGACGACGGTTTGTGTGAGTTACTGTGATGCTCGACCTGCCTCCGGTGCGGAGAACTACTTGTAGATAAGTTTATCGCAGCCACATTAGTCCTTGTTTGGATTGGCTGACCCATCTTCAGACCTATGCGTTGTGAAACCTTTCAAATTAAGGGTGATTTTAACGGACTTCGAACATAAGAGCCCGATGCGTATTTTTTGCCTGGATATAGTGAATTTGAAGCAACGTTCATGGATTTGGTACTTGCAACTAGTGCATCGCAACAACCATGACAGCAAACATGCAAAACAAGGCGCTCAATCCCGTACGTTCTCTACATGATGTTAACGTGCAACAAACGACGAGTGCGATACATCCAGATCCCGGAGCCCCTAGCTACAAGCGAAGAATCAGTGCTCAAATTTGATATGAAATTAACTTTTCCACATTCAAGTCCTCTGAAACCAACTTACAACAATTGGAAAACTTATGTTGATGGTCTAGCTTGAGCTGCGAGACAACTGGATTAGTCTCAGTCAAAAGCTGCACCTGTGGAGGACTGTTGGGTATTCCCAAAATAGAGATTGAAATCATTGTGTTCCCAAGTTGTGACATTGAACTGTTTGAATATTGGACCAAATATGCTTTATTGTTATGAAATGGAGGATGAAAATATTGCTCGGAGTCGCAGACTGTGAGACAACCGCCTTCTCTCTGGCTCTGCCAATGATTATGAAGAAAAAACTGGTCAGCAGGACCTCTACAACCTTGCAAAAAGGAATAAGCGCAGACATTTTTAAGCGTCGCTCGCCATCGCCACGAAGGCCGCCCCAAAGCAAATATTTGCTAACGCGAAGCGATGCCTGAAGCCGGCAGGTGATATGCCAATGTTGGCTGGCCCAGATGGACCGCCCCTAACCTCCACTACTGAGCGTGTCTACGCTTTGGCGACGCACTTCCATGCTGTATATGCAGATGTGTAGGTGGATGTTCCAAGTTCCATGTGTACCGCTTTTACCGAACTCGCTAGTCGGAATTCCGGCATTAATGAGGTTCGTCAAATGTTTGACAAACTTGACGGCACCAAGTCTGCCGGGCTTGATGGGCATTACTCACTGTTTCTAAAATCATCTTCGCCCATCGTCTCTCCTGTCGTGCTTGACCTTTCTAACAGGTTGCTCTTCGAAGGTTTGTTGCCGATTGAACGGAAAGGTTTATTGGTGAAACCTATACCGAGAGGCGGTGACCCTAGACATTTTAGCAACTACAGGCCAAATGGCCTGACGCCTATATTGGCAAAGCTTGCTGCGGTAATTGTTAAAATTGCCGCTATTGCAACAGTCAAAGTAGATGCTGACGCCCGCAAAGCACGGTTTTATGCAAGGGAGCTCATACATTAAAAACTAGCTTGTGACGAGGCACTAGTGGTTGAAGGCAATAAGCGAGGGGAAGTTTGTCGAAGTGGGATTCATTGGTTTCATTAAAGCATTCGAACACATCACCCATGAGGTTCCCCTTTATATACTTATGATGTGTGTTGTCGGTGACTCACTGCACCGGTGGACCCGCGACTTTCTTTGCGGACAAAAGTGAAGGCAATTTTTTGACGTCCATCTAATTGACTGGTATACATGTAACCGTGGCATGCCTCAAATCATTGTGCTGGGGCCCGCTTTGCTCCTGAGCCACGTCAACTATATACGTCATCTTCTTCGGTGGTCCTGTGTCTTGTTAGCGGATGAGATGTAGAGTAGGAGAGAAAGTATCGTTCCCGACTACTGTGGCCTATTTCATCGAGGCGTCAAACGACTATTCAGATTGTCTACAGAATTTCTTCACTCGGTCAACCCAGCCATGTGTAGTTATGTGCCTGGTGAAGAGTGCTAACGGCCGAACTTACACACTTGACGGCCAATAGCTGTATCCCAGGCCCTCCGTGAAGGACTTGGGTGTACCGCCGCCCTACAATTTGAAGTCTCTGGACAACGCGAATAGGCTATACCGGAACAAACTGCACGTGCTTTCGGAGCTCAAACCTAGCTTCTGCAGTGGTCTAAAGAAGTACTTATTAGCCTCATTTCTTTCATCCTTAGACCAATGGTGGTCGGCCCACCGAATTCCGGCTACCCGATTTTAGTCACATATGATCGAACGGGTGTAACATGTTTCTACTAGGCTCATCCTTGGGTTACATGGCTTGTAGTACGGAGACATTTGCGCTTAACTAGGAATCTACACGTCGCCCTACATTATGGGTGGGTGTCGACCTTATTATGACCTAACCTATATTACTTCTCGGGGACTTCCGCCTTCTGAGGCCAAGGTTGCGCTTAAGAAGGCCAAGCAGCACACGCGGACACTAATACAAACGTGTCGTGCCGGATGTTAAGCGCGTTCCCCCACTCAGCTTTGAACGGAAGGTTTTAAATATTTGGGACAGTTTGCCTGAAAATGGGATGGAGGCAACGTCAGCGTAACAGTTCAAAACGTTGTTAGATCCATATTTTAACCCATTCCATTCAGAGAAGCATTGCTCATCTGTGATGACGTGTCACATTTATGTCTTCTGCTATACCCGGAGTTAGATATTGTAAGTGTTACATGAGAACGAAAAAGATAAACCCGAAGGAGCACATTTATAATGCTTTTTAGCATAGAGTTAAATTCTACTTGCTTCATGATACAGCATTTAGTGTTCAGTATTCTAAACTCATTCGATGGTTATGTTCAACAAATTGCACTCAATGCATAGTAACGAGGTTGCATTTACCCTCTTGACACCTTTGCGCTCCTACGCGCTTTTTAAATCCATATATAAAACTGTTCCACTTTGAGGACGTCCTTTGATTTAACCCGCAGTTGGTGCCCTACAAGGCTTAAGAGGTACGCATCCGGTATATATAGTTTAACCTTAGTTCCCTTAGCTTTACGACATTTGAATGTTTACCAGTCTGCATTTTCCCGGCGGTACCAGTTGGACTCGTTGACAGACAATGTGCAGTTTTAAAGAGATCAATGGCGCGGCACTATTTTGTTTCCTTTCAATTAGTACACAAATTCATTCTACGAATAAAAAGTGCGAACTATCGTTAAAGTAGGCTTTAAACCTTAAACGATGGATTTCATGTAAATGTCAGTAGAAGCATGAAAAATGTCATTTTCCTTTCCATACATTTATTTTGTCCACAAATGTGGGCTGCACTTGGTTGCTTAATACGCACCTTGCCCGAGATGTTAACGCGTATTAAAGCAGCCTGCATTGATGTGTAAAACTGTCGCTCTTTAGAAGGTTAATGGATGTTAGCACTGATGCATTAGTTAGAACGACGGTGGAGCATGCCGATTTCATCTGGAAAGCTACAGGACATGAGTGCGTGGTTCATTTCTTATAGTTGTTGTTAACTACAACAACTCGACACATAATTAATTTGCGAATTGTTTGGTAACAATTTAAGAATTAATCTTTCTGGTGGATAATAAGTTGACGACTGCATAAGCCGGTGACACACGTATCACTGCCTCGCGTTGCGTGCAAAGCAGCATTTCGATACTACTTGTCAAACACTTGTTTACTACCTGTAAATCATTATAGCAAATTGTTCATTGTTTTGCTAAAATGAAACGCTCTATCCACCAGCGGTTGTGCAAATTGTTGTTTCGGATTTAGTTACTGAATTCATTAGCAGTAGTAGATATTTAGTCAAGCTTTTCATAAAATCATTTAAATCCACTGCATTCCAGAAAGTTTCAAACGTTGACTCATAAAGCGCAAGCAAAAATTCCCGGTTTGCCTTCTTATGCATGATTGCACTTAACAAAGCTAGAAGATTAGTGGAAGTCTTCACCTTTCACCAGGGTTTGCTGTTTCACAGCATAGATGTATGTTAATAAACATGAATTTATAGTGTCATTTGCACATTATAGTGGAAACCAATCAAAGTGTGTTATTATGTCAATAAAACAACTGATTGTGGTAGAATGCTTCCGCGTGCTGCAAATTGGAAGTTGGTTTATGTAGGCGATTTCCCTATCCTTGACCATATCCACTCATTTTCTGTAATTGCCGAAGTATATATTCCAGTACCTGGTCGGCCTTCAGTTTCCGTGCCGTAGTTTCTCACACCCGCCAGCAGCCATTTGTTTGTGTACGGAAGCTTGCAATAAAGCCCACTTCTACAGTCACGTTCACACGAATCCTAGTGGGAAAGTGACGTAGAAGAAATAATGCCTATCAATCAAATTGTTACACAGAAGTTGATAAAATATGTGCTTCATATTGGATATTGAATGAGGCGTATGGAATATTTTTGTTGGTAACAAACAACAAATATTTTCCAAATGATCTTGGCTTCCTTGGAATTGTCATATGATCAGTAGAATTCTTCTACATCATGAGTGTATAACCGCCACCATAATTCTATGTGTTTACTGCAACTACCAAAGTGCTGACTGTACTTGATTTTTCATAATGCACGATTATTTAGAAGGCAATCCCCGATATTCCAGAAAGTTACCTTTTATTAGCTGCCATAAACCTGAGTAAATCAGCATTCCCAATTTTACACAATGGGTTGCCGCCTGGGAAGTAGCCTGGTTTACACTAGCCGTCGAGTAGTATGTTCATAATGCTGCTTCTCCTAACCGAAAAACCGAAAAACCATTCTTTTTAGAAGTTTATACCAAGAAGCCGTATTTGTTTACTTGATGCGAAGGAGAATTTGCTACTCGTGAAGGGTTTTGCGCGTAAAATAGGTACAATCACCATTCCTCAGAATCCTGAACGCGCTTGTGGCTGGTAGTAGCGTATTTACTCACTTACCTTCGTGGATTTAATAAGAGCGGATTTCGCTCAGCTCAGAAAGTGAGTAACTATATACTTTCTGCGTAGAATACGGAATGTTGAAAATCGTACCTAAATATTTCCAATATAGGGAATGATACTTTATGTGAATAAGTGATGATTACTCTGCATAACATTTATAACCCCAAGATGGGGCGGTCTATGCTTGCGGAGATGTATTACGCTGCCAGCTTGCCCAGCTCGTATGAAGCCCATGTCTGCAACCTCAATATACAAAAATTTTAAACTTAAACTGAATAACGATATATATAAACGGAAACAACCTTAACCTGAGCTAATCATCAATATGCCCTACTTATTAGGTAAACAACCCCATTAGGCATCATGTGTGGTTGCACATTTAAAATTCTTGTAGCGAGCTTTTAAAGCCCACCACATACATTTTGGCCATCTCATGGTCACGTTCTGCACCCGCTCAATTTGTCGCATTTCGGCACTTGTAATGGAAACAATATCCGGATGAGCAGTGCCCTATCATTGAACGTACGATTAGTTGGTTGGGCAAGTTGGTTGAAACTGGATCCTCGTCCTAAGAAATCTGACAATTGTTCCAATCTGTACTTCTTCAATGGGACCTTATACTTAGGGTCAATTTTGAAGGATGGACTACCAACGGCTTACCGTAAAAAATACATTTTCTGGATAAATTTGCAGCAGCTTGTTGGATTGCCAAACAAAATCCGAACACCCTGCGATTATTTATGTTGTAAATGATTGATAAAATAAACCAGCCAAGTACATATATCAGTTAATTGGAAAGTGGCCACATTTACTACGCCTTCGGTATGGAGGGAACCACGGGGATTGTTCCTAAGGTTTAGCTTCTAAGATCCACCGTGCATTGTTTTAAAGCAATGCCAGTAACGCAACTTCACTAATGTCAAGAAGAATTATTTTAATTTCGTTTAGAGGAACCAATAATAATTTTAGCTTTATGATGCGTTAAGTGCGCGCAAACTCTCAAGATTCCATTGTAATATTGCAAAATCCATTTCAAAAAATAAGTCTGCATTTGCTTACCTTCAACCCCCAACCCGCACAAAATTGCGATTCCGTTTGATGCTTCCCGTAGTACTCAAGACATTTGCTTGCACTCAGTATAGGCATAATAACCTCCTGCAGCTCAACTGGCTCAGAATTATTGAATTTAGGCAGAAGTTGGTTATCGGCGTCTATGTCAGCTTTGTTAAACAGACATTGGCAAATGTCGTATGATTTGATTTTCGTGTTACTTTCAATGCTGCTTGGCATCTGACCCCAACCAACAGCGTAGCATTGGGTGCCGTGTTCAAATTCAATATGCTGTCTCGCTATGCAAGCATAATTGAGTTCCTTTCCTGCAACATCAAATATGTAAGCGATACATCTCACTGTGCAAAATGTGCCTTGGTTTGTGGTAATCTGCATTAGGAAAAATACAAAGCATTTCGTGATATTTGCAACAGCCTTAATATTGCTAGGAAACTTACATACCGACTACTGTTTTGCTGTTTAGCATCGGTTGCATCTTCTGAGCAACTTTTTATATTTTGTGAAAATTTAATATTCACAATAATGCGACAGAGTTTGTCGGTTTCAATTAGTATAGCCGCAGTACCAGTGCACATTGTACATGTATACAATACGTTGACGAATCGTCTATTGCGTGAGATACTCAGTGCTAAGTTATTGCAGCTGATTTCCGTTATAATCTCATAAATCAATAAATTCCAGACACCCTGAATGTTGTATGATTTGCTACTAAAGAAATTTATAATTTTACCATAGCTAGAATGAACAATTTCTCAACAGGCTAATCTTAATCCAGATAATTTGATTATTCGCATCACCTGCTAGCATAACGTTGCTGGTAAAAGTGCCGTGCTTAAAGAAAACTACTTTTAATATCAACCATTTCAAATTTAAAACAACCGAAGTAACTAAAAGGACCATGCGCGGCTGGTCAAAAACACGGTCTCCTTACACAAATTAGTTTTCAGCTACCAACTTGCTGAAGCTTGAGCAAACTGGAGCAGATAAGCATTGCTTTGTTAGCCATATATCCGCCACCGTTTGCCGGGATTTTGGCATATAAAACATACTAGGATACGATGAGCAATGAAGCATGCAGGAAGCTTGAGACGAGTTGCGCGGATACTTAATGGTATGTGCACTGAAAACCTAGTTGACAGCTTTTCATTCCTTCTGTCCCATGTATATGGTCGCGCAAGGTTCATACCTGCTATGCAGCGTCATCGCTTAGGTACATCCTAGTCTGCATTATTTGCCGAAACCCCCGCAGCCCGTTCCCTATAATTAACCAACAGAGCAATGCTAGCCTGCTACATTTTGCTGAAGCTTTAGCGATTTGTTGCCAGAAAGCCACTTCGTGCAAGCAGTCGGAGTTTATAACCATACTCACATTGCTACGTTAAGATTTTGATAGGTTTAATTTTAAAATAAATATGCTTGAACGAAGTGCAGGATCTAGGCGAACGCCGACTAACTTGTGCTTCAGAGTGATTTGGATACGGTGTATCAAAGGTCGACCCAAAACTCATTGCATTTCAACGTCAGTAAATGCAAAGCGCTTTTCATCCGACATCAGAGCCGCTACTCTTACCGACTTGGAATGAATAAACTACAAAAATCGACTATCGAACATTACTTGGATGTCCTGGTTTTAGATTACTTGGGTTGCTCCAGGCAATCCGAAAAGGCCTCGAAGACCGGGCTCCAACACGACGGTCTGTTGAGGCGGGCGTTTGGACCAATAAACAGCTCCATATTTCAACAAATGCTGAGTGCGTAGGTTCGCCCCCATGTCGAATAGGCAATTCAAGCCTGGCATCCATGGCTGAAACACGACCTTAATGCACTGGAACAACCACAACGCCGGGCATCTAAGAAAGTAATTGGAATTCGCAATCTTTCCTACCAGGAGAGGCTGCAACAACTGGGATTGTTCAGTGGAAGGTATCGCAGACTATGATGCGACCGTATTATGGCATACTTGATTCTGCGAGACCCACATCATGTGTGCCACCCATTACTGCAACTCAGCATCAATACAAACCTGAAAGGCCACGCATTAAAACTGACAGAACAATACAGTCGTCTGGAGTGCAGAAGAAATTTCTTTTCCATTCGTGTCTGTAACCCGTGGAATGCTCCCCCAATATCGGTCATTCCTGCATCGACAATAATAGTATTTAAAAGACGATTGGACAATGCGCTCTTCCACGAATAGTTTGTTAATTGACACTACGTCTCCATCCTACACCTGGAGTTTACCACGGAATTATTTGTTGTTAACTGTGGATGCTGTGAATCTAAGAGGACCGCAGGACTGCGGCGAAGCAAACCATAATCCCCTATTTTCATATTTAAAGTACTAACTAGTTTACTATCCTTATCTTCATTGTTATTATGTTGATATACCCACCAACTATCCAACGGGGCTTGTAAAGCAACGCTTCTTATCCCGTATAAATTTATTGTTCATTTTGCTTAGACGCAACAACATCTTTTCACGGAGTGGTTCTAGCAGCTGAAGAGAACACTCAATATCTTATTTCAGAGCATCCTGTTGAAATGTACTTCTTTGTTGCTAGGCTATACTTTCTCAAGAGTAAATCTTGCATGAAATTCCTAATTTGCCCACAGAAGTGCTTTACTGTCACGCTGGCTGGAATTGTTGTGTTGCCGTGCGCATTTAGGTCAGTCCGCTCATGTCCGTTTGCGAAGCCGGAGAACGATTTGCCCATGCAACTCGACCAGTCAGAAATGAAACCCACACTTTTATTACACGTGCACTTAACGGCCTGTTCTGGCAAAGAGGTTGCCTCACCGTTTGCAGCTGGTTAAGTTATATTTTGACAACCCAAGAGGTAACACCGTGTCCGCAAAATTGTCAGTACGGTTTTCCATTGGTACACTACAGGTCGCCCATGGGTGCAACTTATTTTTGTTTCTCTGGTTGCATTATCTTTTATTAGAATGTGCATTATCTACCATATGAATATTACAATCATTGAGGGACATAAAAAGCTCAACGCGATTGGTAATCCAGGTCACCTACGTACAAATTTTTCAACTGCTCTATGTGTGGAACGGTGCGCATTGTCATCAGCATTATCGTAATATTCCTGCATTTGAAAGTTCATACAAAATCACGCTACCATTATGGAAGATTTCACGTATATTCACACTGTACTACAGCTACTATCGTCCGTAGTTTTGGTGAGCTGTGCAAGTATTCGAAGTTCTCACATAAGTTATTGGCTTCATTTTGGCAGTACGGCAACAATATAGCGACGGGAGTAATACGTTACTTCACATAGTCAAATGCACTTATTGGGTGATAATGAAGGTAACACTCCAAATAGGATCCCCGCAAAACTTAGCGGAAGCTAAACATTAGTTATCGCAAAATATTTGCTTATCATTAATTTAAACTTACGCAATTCTGCAGGTTTAGCTAATTGCAATAACGCCATATCATTTCCTTTAGCGCTTTCAAAAGCCTCATAATAGGTATTAATAAAAACCGTTTTGATCAAGTGTTTCTCATCTGTACCGTGATCAACACTTTGGCGATGATTGCCCAAATAAGCGTAAAGTGATGTACCAATGGTTTTCTCTGGAGTAGATAGCCGTCCTGAAACAACAACCCAACCGTTATCTGTAAAACAGTGAGCTGCGATAACGATCCATTCCAGTGAAACCAGCGTCCCACTGCACCAATAATATTCGTTTCCTTCAGAGTCTGTGGTAACCAAACGAACCTAAGCGTGTTTAAAATAAGTACGAATGGTTTAAAATCTTCACACGCTTTATTTATTATTATGCATTTAGATGAAGAGCAAGCAAAGTGCGCATTCGTCACTACTATTCTTTATTAAACTGCAATGAATGCGAGGCGACGTTGCAACAGCTTTTAGCCCTGTTAATATACATGTAGTTGATAGTCAGGCCAAGTCAGTCTAGGCTTTATGTGCATAAAAGGTGCATTTTCAACATTTCTTTGTCAACTGAACCTTTACTATTGGGTTTCAGTTAAAAATGTAAAGTTTCCAATTGGTAGAAAACTGAAGATTAACTGTCATTGAGCGATCAAGTAACGATTCCAAGGAGCTGGAATAACCCTTCGGGATTTGTATCCGTTTAAAATGGAAAAGAGTTCAGAAAAGTGGTTTCTCAAAATTTCGTTTCAATTGGTGTTGAAATCTGTGGCAAAACAATGAGCAACAGCCAATTTAAAGCCTTCCGCGAAAATAAAATCCCTGATCGTTTATAGACAACATTATGTAAAAAAGTTAGCATTAAGGTGTGTTTTTAGCACAAAGTTTACCGTTCCTAAGGCAAAAAACTATGTCGTTTACGGAAAACAAAGTAAAAAATTAATGATGACGCGCCTTCCAATAAATACATCCCCAATATTTGGCCGTGCTCTATTTGTTTAACAGCCAAGACATCACAAATACCAAAACTTTTGAAACTTTAATCTATTACTTAATGTTTTAGGAAGTCCACCTTACAAAAACCGGCGAACCGTACACATGTTACATAAAAGAATAATATGCAAATTCCCGTAAATTTCATCGTAAATGGAAAAGATTTAACAAACAATTACAAGTAATGTGTACTCCGTATCATTTTACACAGTACAATGAAAAGACAATTATTTGCAGAAGATATCATTTCGGGCTCTCGGATCACATACAAAAGTACAAGCTTTTAGCCATAAAGGTAGAAAATGGAAAAAGAGCTTAAAACATGATCGCGTAGACTCCTACCGTTATGGACCAGTTCAGCATACTACATAGGCAAATACGTTTTATTCCAACCAAGCTATTTGAGTGTGCCGAAGAAAAACCCACACACAAGTTCCCGGTTTACATCTACAAAAGAGATCAACCGCTTTGCCTTTTCAGATATTATTGACATGAATGACAGTCAGCTTGGTGAAGCGATCCGTTTGGCTATATGCAACTTAGACGGGACCATGTGAAAAATCCATTAGCTTTAATTCAGTAAAGCATAAACACTGTCACCTCAAAATTCCGTTTCAGATAGCTTGTGGAATATGCATACTTAAATATGTGATGCCTGTATTGTAATTTAATGCGCAGGCGCAGCGTGCAAATGGCTACTTTCATCCATGTTCCACGGCCGCCGGATGGAAAAGAATCAAGAGCAGCTCCCTTCTCTTTTCAGAAATATCCACCTATCTGCAGTTGCAATTTAGAGGAAAGGTTGTGACAAAGCATTATAGCAACCTGTAGCCACCGTATTTCGAAGGACTCAGTGCTGTCAATCTAGTCGCAATTTGGACAAGCACAAAGATAGCAACGCTTCTGATCATGCTTACCCAAGAGATTTTCGTCAAGGCACGTGGCATTTACCAGGTTGTCTTTAGTTGTTTAAGCAATTCCATCGGCAGAACGGATCAGCGTCAGCCTACGTGGGTTGTTGAGCGAATTCCAAGTGGGTTGATGTCGCTATAGAAGGTCGAACATGAGGACAGGCGTCGAAATACAAAAAACAGACCGCCTTTGACAGCACTTACAGTGTACAGATAATCCAGTTGACCAGGCCGAGGCGTTTACAATTATCTACCATAGCCTTAAAGCGAAAATAATCAAATACGCACCGAGCGTAGATATTAATTTTAATTGCCTTAATGTTATATGCAAACAGCAACGGGCTGTCACACACAAGCTTCTTTGAGGAAAGTAACGCTTGCCTCACTAATTCTGATTCTGATTTGGTCTGTGACGGAATGTACCTTCGCGTCCAAGTTTCAAGCTTTTGCTGGGGCTGCATCAGTGTTTGTTTACAATGTTGCATTTTGCATGCGATCATAGCGCCCGAAATAATATATTCTTCAACAAGTGTCTTAAGTCACTGTAAGGAAAACGTATTCGTTTGGACAATATTTATCAGTCAAGTGCCAAAGCACCGCATTCTTAGGTACATTTCGGTTTATCCATGTTTACCTTCATTTCATGACTTTTAGCTCCAGTATTCAGGGACCAAACAACTTAGTTTGCAACTGTATTCTCACTCCGATTACTGACGCAGATTTTACTTTCGATTCAGCTAGCTTGGCAACAAACTCAATTTCTGGAACACCCTGTAATAAAACAAAATGTTTTATTTGTTTCTGTTCAGCTGCAAGTGTATTCTTGTTACCATAAAAGATAAGTTTAGCGTCTTTTCTTAATAATTGGTTAGGCACATAGGAAAAGGAGGTATTCTGTTTACGTGGAACCTATCGCTAGCTATAGGCACTTAACCCACTTGTCAGCAATTATCTGAGGTTTCAGTACCCGTAGTACATACATTCAAACTACCACTATTAAACTAAAATGCTTAGTTCGTTAAGTGAGCCGTTACACTCATTTTAGGTCTTGCTACGGTGTGTTGTGTAATATTGCCAGATCGCATCTGCTTTGCGAATTGGCTGTCTGAAAAGTATTTCTGTGCGATTACCCGATCATTTCCCGTTTCTTTCTTCTTTTTCCACGCAATAGCTGACTACTCACGTAAATACTGCACATAAAGTATTAGTTTTGTACCTGCAATTTACCACAAGATCATTCAATCTGTTGTAAGCAATATCTTACATTATTTTTAACGCAATACATTCTCATTTGAACTCTTCAGCCCAATATATGTTTTACCTGTATAAACTAAAGTCACTTGACATGCACCGCAATATTATCCAACGGTTATTTCCATTTTTATTAGAAATGCTAAAACCGTAACTGAATAAACAAATAAGTAGTTTGCAGATCACTTATGGATGTGGAAGGTTGTTCCCTAGTAGTATAAGCTCAATCAATTATATCCTCTTTTTGCTTTTATAAGTAACAGTTAACTTTTGGCAACAGATGGTAATTGTAACCGATATATACCGAAGTTTCCTACATGCTTTTGGATTAGCGATTCCCACAATCACGTAAAAGATGCTCGGGACAGCGCGACATAAAATATAAGAGTCTGTGGTCCAAATGTTTATGGGCAGATGTTTTTCGTCATTCGGTCTGGAGCCATCCACACCTATCTTCAAAGCTTTATCCAAGGATTTTGATGTCCCAAACATGTTATTCGCGCTTTTGAATTTAAATGATAACTAAGCGCAAATTTACAACTACGTACTGTACAGCATGCGCTTATATTTCGCGCAACTTTGTTCCAACTGATGCACATAATCAGTCTATTAAACCTTTGACCAGTTCAGAAAGATTTCATATGTAAGTTGTAGGTGCTCATGCCGTCTTTATGAACATTACCGAAAGCAGTTATTTGTAGGAAGTTTGATCTTCACGGTCCACTTCGCAATATAACGAATGCAAGATATACAGCAGTGGGCTGCATGTATTGCAACAATTAAACTTGAAGTTACATTCGGCCAACAAGTTGACGATACTTTCATTTATCACTGATGTATAATACGAATGACATTATTTAATGCTAACCACAGAACAGTTGCTTTGCTAAACTGTCAATTGTATAGCTCGGCTCAAACTCACCAGCCATGGCCATGAATTCGATGTTGTTCTTTTATCTCCAGTAGGGTTTGACTCAGCGTCTTCGTTCGCGCTTTGGATTCCACAGTTTTCAAGCATACCTGTTTAGAAAACAAAGCGTTTCCATTTACAACGAATTACTGGCGCACATTTTCTTGACTATGCATGTTTGCATCCGTGAAAAATCACGCTGGAATAGAGCTATGGTTACAACCACAATCTATACATTATGATCTCTCATAAGTGTCAAGAAGCTGCCACTGTTTCTATATACTCCTGCCTCACTGCGCAATATGAGTTGTCAGAGTGGGTAAATCACTGTTATTAAACCTAACGTTGGGTTGATTTCATGAACAGCAACAACCTACAACAATACGATTTACGCAAACTTCTATGCGATTTGCGTCTAATTTGATTTTCCACTGCGAATCAAATAAACGCTCCTACCCAATCTCAATGATTCCTATGCAAAATTGCCTGATTTCGACTGCAATAAAACACATGCTAGTAATCGTATTTTAAGAACCCAAACTTGTTTCCGCTCATGGATTGCGTAAGACGAGAACGGAACTTAATGCTCATCACAATTTTGAAGCTGTCATCCAATTTATTTGGTGGCATACTTATTTGTTGTTGCATGCAAATACAATAGGAAGTAGTCGACGATCAGGCAGCTTGAGTCACCGATGCGCTATGCTGTCGATTGCGGCTTAGATACGTTAGCATCTACCCTGTGATGACCGTTTCTTCTCTGTTTTTTAATATATGCATGGACTTCCGTCTAAGCTCGACCTTGCTTTAAGGTTAATACTGATTTCTAGACCTCTTAAGGGCAGAAATTTGTCGTCAAGAATTTCCATAATTTCACGCTTTTGCGTGTGCCTATCGATCAAGATATATTGGAACATCCATCGTGGGCCTGGCTGTGATAGCCACGGCAGCACTGCTTATCTTGGCTGTATAGTGGATTGACCAGAACAGCGGCAAGCGCCGTGCCTGCTTATTTGGTTGCTTTAAACTAACAAGTCAAAACACGTAAGGCATGCCTTTGCATCTACCGCGGACCCAGTTGACATACACGGGCGGTCAGATTTTACTTATTGGCGCATACGTATGTCGTACGGTCACTAACCATACATAGGCCTCCTCTAAGGCGGACACATTGGCGTTTAACATAGCACGCCTATGATTGCTGTGGGAACAATCACTTATCTTGAGCACTTAGTCTACCTAGTCTTCCGAATATATACTCTTAACTACTATTTACATATCAAAGGCATTATTTCGGATGTAGTAGGCTAATGATTAATCAATGTAAAGCTTGCTGGTTTGCTGACTCATTTTCTGATGTTTGCGCTTAAGATGTTTTATCATTTTCCTAGGGATCAAAAATAAACGGGCACAACCTGATAGTCTAAGCATCCGACAACAACACGTGCAAGCATAGACTGCTATAATTCACTGTAAGTGTCCCATAAAATCTCCACATCATCGCACCTATCAAACCCGCAACCACCAACCCTGCGTACCAGAACTAGTACGTGCAAAGGAGAAAATTATGCTTGACATTTCACCGATAGACAATCAATTTGGAACTAACGATCATTTTGCTATACTTAGCAACTATCTATGTCACACAAAATACCTGGCTACCCGAACAACCTCCTCGTGGTGCCAGCTGGGTGGTTCGGATGTAAGACGTTCCATCAAATAGTTCAACGTTAAGGTTTGAGGACGTTCTCGGATTTCGCCTGGCAAGATTGCTTCTTATAGAAAGCCACAAATATCCGTTTATCAATCTTATGACGTAGTGAACGTGACTCGCCAAGAACTAAAGGCACTGTCACGTAGATTTCTGGATAAGTCTAATTAATACACAGACTTTAATCGGCTATCGCTACATCGCCGACTTTAGCAAACAGTCACGAATACAGCGGCACGCTTACAATCTTAATCTACAAAGCTACACATATACACAACTACGTACACGTCCATAGGCACATGTACTGTTTTGGCAAACTTGAATTTTTGTACATTTTTATTCACACTTTGTTATCACAACATGAATATGCCTGACAAGGCGCGTCACGCGTTGCCAAGAATAAAACGATTTTGTAGATATACGCGGAATCACTGCGCATTAGCGTACTCTACAACATTCAGACAGACCTTGTTGCACTGAATGTAAAATCATTTCTAAAAGGTGGCTGCTTAAAAACGCTATGTCCAATTTGCTGGCTGTTTTAACAATATGATCGTAACAAATTTGGTGACTATGTATGTTTGTTTCACCATGCTATAAGCATACTTTAGAGGTGCAACTCAAATCGCAAAGCTGTTGGAAATGCAATCAGCCCCGGCTATAAAACTTGGAACGGACCAGCTTGTAAGCGATGTTATAATAACGCTTTTGTCTGTGATCGTAACTTTACCCAAAATAATACCTGTCTTGCGAATTTTACAATATTTATCCAAACTAGGTTGCTTAAACAATAAAACATACTATTCTACCGGTTAACACCCGATAGATTGACTTTGGTTGCTGAAAATAAGTTAATTTTATCTTGATTCATTAGGCGCGGACGACAATACGAAACATCTGCTATTGCAAAGTGTTTTACCTACTTAATTACCACAAATGCAGCTTTTTGTCACGTCATATAAACACTACAAAAATGAAAAAGGTTACCCTTGCTATGCGCATAGGGTTCCCCTCGAGCGGGGATGTTGAGTCAAGACATTAAACATAGTTGTCGTAACGCCAGTCGATACCTGACCAAACGGTTTTAAAGCGTGCTCACAAGAGTAAATTGTGTCTGTCATGAAATAAGTAAGCTAGTTTTCAAAAGCAGCAGTTGCTTAGATCCAGCAAACACTTTCTTAAATTTGTTAGATGAAGGCTTTGCTATGGTTTTAATAGAAGGTGTACAAAGCTACGATTTTACATCCAGGGAAAATCTCGGTTTCCACCACCATCAATCCTTCATCACCATCAATCAAACACAACACAAGTGCATTCTACACACGATGCATCAAAGACGGCAAGCGTCAAACTGAGGGGAAACGTTATCGCGTAATTGCATTTTTCAAACCATTAACCGCCGGAAACCCGGCATTCCACGTTACGGACTGGAAAGGTAGATAGTCTGTTATCTACTTTTAGGTGGATTGGTGCTAGGCCTACCTGCAAAATATTATGTGAAGGGGAATCCAAAATGCATGCACATTATATATTTTTAGTAGTCATTTAAGCATTCACCTTAAGTCAACTAATTCGTCATCGTCACTTTCAATCAGCAGGCTTAAACTAGTCTGGAAAAGCACCAGACGTCGGCTTTGCGACGTTCTGGATCTTGTCACTGGTGCGCCTCCCGGCCGGCCCCTGCCGGGTACCATACCCTTGACTTCAGGATGCCAGCAGCTAGTGCTACTTCGCCCAGGGTGACAGCAGCAAACCTGCGTGATTGACAATTTACTGTGATATAGCCCGGCTCATCTTCAACTGAACTGCCAGTTACGAGATGTAGAGAGGAAAAAGGCTAGCCTCACGAGCTAGGAATTTCCGCATAGCGCCTATGTGCCACATAGGACTTAGAAGCTAAACGGACAGGTTTTATAATACTGATGAGTAATAGCGACTTTACTATACTAATTAAGGCTAAAGTGATCGCGTTCGGTTCGTATATACAATACTGTTTAAGAAAGCTGTTACTTTGAAACCCTAGCTGCCATTCTGAAGTTCACTGTAGTTCTTGTCCTCTATACTTTCAATTCAAAATTTATCCGTCAACCGCCACATCCCAAACGAAAACGTTTTCATCCTTTATTGCAACTATTAGCAATGCAGAGACAAAGTTATTTATACCATTATATACATTGCTACCATATATCACCGCCTGTTTTCTTAAGGGAATTCTTCGAAAGCAGTATTCTAGGATAATTGGAGGGTCAAGTTTGGATTACACGTTGTGTGATTGGATTGCGACACGCAACCTCAATTTAATAGACTGCGATTCACATTGAAATTAACCGTAGTCACTGCGATCGCTGGGACCGTATTCAAAGTAGATGGAATTTGGGTATTGCCCACCCGAAAACACTGCACAGCCACGACGCGTTTCGATGTAATTTCATCTCATCAGGTGGAGACAGCAGGATTTGAACCCACGACCATTGGAATAGCAGCCAACACTACTACCCCTTTGGCTACCGCTTTCATTCGGTGTAAAAGCCCGAATCAGCCTAACAGTTTCCTCTAATCCCAGTCCATAACGCTACCAGCTGGCGAATTTCTGTTGTGTTAAACAGGTCCGCTCAGTAATTTCAAATTTTCTCCTTACGTTTGTGAAACATTCATTAAACTACCAGGCTATGAAGATTTGCACTCACTTTATATATGTGACCTAGAATGCATAAACTATTTACCACCGTGTTCATAGAAACTATTCAATGCTAAGCAGTTCTATGGTTTAGAAACGCTTTTATTTCTCATGGTAAATTAAACCAATATTTCTTTATAATGTAACACCTGCTGTTTCCAAAAAACACTAAGTCAAAATTGGGTAAACAAACACCAATGAAGCAAGAAGTTGGTTCTGAAGTTGGGAAATTAAAGTGAGGAAAACGGTAAAAACAACATTAATACCATTGATCAAACCTGCTCAGATCTCGCATCTACGTGGAACATAGCACTTATTTTACTTAGTTATTTTAATTTGCCTTATCAGCGTTGCGCTGTATTCCATGGACTTACTTAACCTATGTAGTTAGTACGACCTACAGGTTTAATGCAATTAAACACACAAAGATTCATAAGGAAGTCTCATGTAAAATATTGGATGGAATCATTCTGTTTAATGGAAGACTAGTAAAAGTATCATATTGACAAGTAACTGCATTTTACAATATTTTTATGTAACGTATTACGCCAACGCCTAGTGAGCTGTCAATGAACACTAATCGTTCGTATTTCTTAACCTGCAAGCCTAGAACATCGTTATTGGGAGACATGATTTAAACTTATTATTATGTATGAACAGTGGACAGCATTAGCCTGATTCACTAGACGATTTGCCCTTATTTCGAGAGGCATATTGTTCCTACTCACAAGGAATTTTTAACATTATTCGCATACAAAGCTACCGTAGCAGCGCTGTCAAATTATAAATAAAACGCCACCAGAATTGTGACAGTTATTTTAAATACCACGCGCAGTTGTTCTAGTTTCCTTTAAAAAGAGTTGTCGCTAATCAGCGTTGGTTGACAACGAAGCTGAGTGTTGAAAAATATTGAAACATAGATAATAAAAGGCCAAATTTTCTCTGTCTGCGTTTGGTTTATTTGAAAACATTCCAGAGGTTTTTCTCTGTGATTTGGTTACTGGAAGACAGTTCCATCTAAACATTCCATGCTATGAAAGACGTCATGTTATGCTAACCAAAATTTAACACAAAGCTTTTGACCACATATTAATATTATATTTTCCTTATAATAAAGAACCAGCGAACATTGGCTTGAATGCGGTGGTAAAATATAACACTTGTTAGCTACTTAGTAAATCAAACCGTAATACTGTAACTAGTGTAATAAAGTGTCCGTTTCCTACAGTCAACTATAGGTTTCATCTGTTAAATCACACCGGCCCAAAATTCAATATTCTTCAATGGTTTATATCTACCAAGAAGCCTGAACTTATGTCGATTCTGTAGTAGTTTAACAGCTCACTGAGCTCTCATATACACCAAGTTCGTTGGACAAAATTCATTTTATTTACAGTGTGGTCCCAATTTAATAAACCTGAAACCCCTTCGCCTTGCTAATACCGATCCATAAGACGCCTTCGCGAAAGCTTTGCATCTCATTACTAACTCACTATCTTTGCGGTATTGCCCGCGGTTTTCAGGCTTTTGTCAGTAATATTTGATCACGTCATATTGCTAGTATGCGAGGTGAAAGATTAGAAACCTCATCTGCAAAAACAACTTTCGGTTTCCTAAAGCAGTTCGCTTCCTTACAATGTACACTAAAACATTTTAATGCGATGTTTCCATCCGCAGCAAATCCAATCGTACATCGTTGTGTAAGCAAGTTTACATTAAATGCAGCTTTACCCTTTAAATAGTATTTTTGTTTGTCCATTAACACTAAACTTTGTTTATTGGAACAACAATGGAGAACTGTACGTCGTGAGCAGCAAGCATTTAAATGCTGCAATTTAGCGGTGCACAGGATAAACACTCCGGGTATTACAAGTTGGCTAGGTTAATATTAGATAGTTACAGTAGAAAACATGCGCTTATTGGTATAACAACATGAGCTGCTATATATATTTAGCTTACTAGTCATCGCTAATCCAATCACTAAACTGCCACTAACTCTTAAGCAAAGTACCAGAAGTTAACAGAATTGTCACCAGCATATTGTGCATAAAACTATTTATTGGGGAATATACATAGAGGAATAATAGTCTAATATGATTTAAAATAGAATTTGCACTCCTAATACACAGGCCTTAAAACACAAGTTATTACCTGAGCTAGGCAATCGATTGCTTACTAAAGAACGCATAAATCGCAATGCGATGTTTTCACACTACCAATGATTAGTAGTTTGGATGCAAATCACCATAAAACAGGAATGAGTGCCTTAACTAGTTTCCTCAATTCCTTCTGATATCTCCACGCCACCTCATCAGGTAACCACATCTATATAAAACGAGTTCCTTTCTCCTGTGATGGATTGCCTTTATTTCATAGAACATTAAATTTCATTTACGAATAAAACCACCGCTGGTGAGATAGATTGGTTCCACTCAAACAGTTATGTTCGACCGTAGGTAACAATACGAATTAAATTTTAAATTACCAAATTCTCTCCCAAATTATTGTGTGCATCAGAAATATGATTAATTTAGTTGTTTTGTCTAAAATACTTGTAAACCCGTATCAGCCAAGTAAACGCTACCCTGGTTAGGACATCCGCTCTCTATATTCGTTAACTCCGAACCCGTATTTTCATCCTACAATCAGTCGCCGAAACAGCATCTGTTTGTGCAACACTTCGTAGATTCAAAATAACACCAAATTATTAGACGTTAACGCAGTGAAATAATGTTTAGTCTACATATAAAGTATGACGTTATAATCTTTGACCAAAACAGGATCATATAGCTTGGCAATGTAATGTTCGCCACATAGCATACATGGTTAGTAATGTTTCCAAAGCATGTGCAAATCGTTACAATTTCCTTGGTTGTCGTACGGATTCAAGAATTTCATGCAAACGTTTGAAGTAAACCAACAGAACACAGGCGACAATTAGTAGCAATATATCACAAACGCCTGCTCCATTTTAAACCGCGGTATACATCAGAACCGTGCGAATAATACGTGCACGTGACAACGAGTTACCTGTAATTGGTCAAGTATTATTTCAAACTCAGAAGTGCGAGATACTCACCATAGGTTAAACAAGTTTTCTTATTCTTACATGTGCGCGTCACTTCGTAATATCTACTAGGACAGCGTCTTGCACCTGATCTATTGACGTCGGATGGCTTCCAAGATCCGTCAGCACATTCACGGCGTCGACGCTGGACACAATCAATTGGATCACATTTGGACCAGTTGGACCACGTTTGGTAGCGCTCAGTGGGAATGGTTAGGCTGTACACGAATTTTTGCTCAGAAGCGTCAAATTCTATGGAGGCTTCCTTATGTTAACAATGCAAAAGAGAAAGTAAACCAAAAAATGAAGGGTATTCTTGCTCACTTTAACACAAGTAAGTTAGTGTTTGGGTAAATCTGCGCTCTCCGTTGCGCACTTATCTCGGAGAGCGAAATCAACATGGCAAACGCTCTCAAGGTGGAACTTATTTAATACTAGCTAGTTACCTTGCAGTTATGTTAGCTAAGTTAAGCTGTAAATGCAATTGCTTACTTCACAAGCTCCTGTTTACATAAGTTACGCTTTTCGTTTTTTCAATTGCATACATAACTTGTCTAGGAGTTCTTACTACGCTAAACGTTGCGCTCACTAAACTTTTGGAAATATAAAATGCTTATAAATATAACGTAGTAAGTAGAAAGTTTCCGAACGAACATGGGTGTCACTTGGTACATTATATTCCTCCGAGGCCCAAACTGGAGTAAGTATTGTAGCTGTAGTCAGGTAAAATGAAGGCAATATCCGACCATCTACTTGCATCATGTTCACTCAGGTGTACAGCTTTTGATAAACTACTGAGTTTTAACTAAGTTTAGCTGACAATTCTTGGTTTTGTGCTGAGCTGTTTAACAGTTGTTCATTAGCGTTGTTCATGATGAGACTGCTTACATTCAACAACACGCATAGACTAAAGTTTATGTAAAGCTTTTGTACACTTTCCGCTGAATGGTGGCCTACGAAATACCTTACATCCATCTACAACTCTAAAATATATCGCACATGTTAGAATCAAGTAATCTGAGTTGCCATTACGCTCTCAGAGTCCGTGTACTCACCTTATCGGTTACGTGCTCAATAACCTCAATCCTAGGTTTTGTAGCTCCAACCGGCCCCAACGCCCCCAAGTTTCTCTGGGTCGATGGGGTTACCCGGATGTCTCCGAGTGCTTTGATACCATATTTACCAAAACGGAGGCTGGAAGTGGTCCATACATTTGTCGAGTATTCACAGAACAAAGCAACTATCACCACTGTAATCGACAGTACGGTATGCATCAAAAGGAGATAAGCAATTTTCGAGTGGCTGTAGTCTAGGTAACAGCTTATTATATGGCACAGATTTACCCCATTCCTCTCCATGCGGCATTTTGGGACCAATGCACAACATAGTGTGGGCTCATAAATATACGAATGAGTGAAGAATTGCTTAAACTAACTTCGCTCCACATGAAAATACTTGCATAAATAAATCCTTAAGCATTGTGCCATGCAAATTAAGATAGTCTGGTTTTGACAGGCACACGAATGGAGCTAAAGTTTTAGACGTAGTGCATCGGAGTCCTTATTGAAATCTGATCAGTAAAATTATTGACCCTTCCAATCAACGGCTTTGTGGCAGATCATCGGTTATTTGCAGTTCAGCGCCTACGATATAGGATTATTTTACCTTTAAATCCAAGAGGAATTTTGTTGTTATATTACGGCAAATGTTTACAAAATTTGGCTTTAGTTTAACTATTCCATTTTTTAAGGGAGGTTTCTAAGTCATCTCCTTTCCTAAGTCATTTTCATAGCAAGAACATTACAAATCATTTTCCGCCATTTTTGTTAAACAGAGGTATATTCAGTTAGTTTCCTAACCTTTAATGATCCCAATGGTAGGTGCGGCTGTGCAGCACTTTATAACCGTAGCGTATACGCCACTTCTGTCAAACAAATGAAGTAAATACCATAATGGCAATGCAACTAGGACTTACCAAGTCCATAGGATATTGAACCGATTGCAAATGTGACGGAAAGGTAAAACTTGGCTTCGTGGGCTTCACAATTTACCCACGTCAACACACATTTATACCAAGTACACATATTGCATAAATCGTGGTAAGCACAGTGTTTGCATCTTGTAAGCACTTGATGATCGAAGTAAATACTACTTTTTTGTATATGGTGTAATATGTCGTCACATCATTTTCACCAGTGCGTGTCGTGGGGGCATTTAAGACAAAACAAGAAGCGCGTTCCAAAGCTGACTAATTTTGGGAAAACGCAAATTCCTGTGGCAAAATCCGCCTTCTTTAGGTGGCAAATTTCACTCGGCCGTTTTTCACGTTCGTGTTGCGGCATCATTGCCGGAGGTGGTCGCCGACATGGCAACGGTATATTAAAATCTGGTAGCGCAAAATAGGGCTTAGCTGCGGACGGCAATGTCTTCCAGTGCACACTCATAGGACTTCCAGTTGTAGCAGATGTGGCAGATGGAACAAGCCCGTGTATCCTTGGGTTGCTTGTTGCTAGGATACCGCAATGCCAAATTTACCAGGCTTGTATCCTTGTCTACGTGTGGTCTTATATTTGTGCTGAGCATACACATACATATGCGCGAGGATTGACTTGTGCGAACGTCATACGTAAGAGACCAACAATCCTCTTCAATGCTTTTGATAACATAACGGATTTTTCCTACCTCCGATATCGTCTTGCATCACTACTTTCAGGTCACCAAGCTATAAAGCACTCTTCAATACATGCCTTCAAGTTACATAGGCCCTAGAAAATAAATAAATAAAGCAATACTAGGTGAGACGAGGCACGTCTAGAAAAGCGTGATCTGTAGCACAAGTAAACAATACAATGCTTATTACAGATTTCCTCATCCTAGTACTGCGCTTAGCTTCTTTGGAAAAACACGTTTCCTGACCTTAAATTTCAGAACAAAACATGTATTGTCTGTCTGAATGTCTTTGGTACTGAAGTAAGAATTTTTGGAAGATAAACGAACAGATATTGATTGGCGCGTTTGTGTTATAACATGGTTTGTAGTTTCTGACATGTGAGTTACTGCTAGCTTTTCCGTACGCGTGTAATCTTCCTTAAGTGATCAAAGTTGGCACTATATGGAATTTTTATTTAGCGATGGTTAGGGTTAAACAATATGGTTTTATCCTTGTATATTAACGGCCTCTTTTGAAAGAAAACGTCGCAATTCCTCCCAGTGAAGATCATAAAATCCGTTAGAACAAGTCACATATACCTCCAATTAAAAGGTCCTTGTATCACCTTAACTTTACAGATAGTACTAGAAACCTTAACCTTTCAAGCGTCCTATACTCAGGAGTCTAAGCAACCAAACGATGCTGGTTAACTCTACCACATCAGAAGCACAGTTGACTGTATTAAACTTATATTATCAGATTCCTTGTCATGCAAAAGAATCATGACCATTTACCCTATATTTGGCTTTTGACTAATCCAGGCAAAGTATGACCTTTCCGATCCCCTACTTTTTCTTGGTTCACTTCACACCTTACCGACAGAATCCTAGAAGTCATAATAACAAAAGCACACATCCTGTCGCACCCTGGGGGCATGTGGCGTCCTTTAAGGTAGCTTTCTGGAACTACTATGTTTCCTTATTTATATACATGACACTTTTTGTGTTATGACCTACGGTAGGCTCTGCATCTTTGTGGATGTTATAAAGGTTTGTAAACATTTGATCCCAGAAAGCAAGCACTCACGCTTCGAAATACAGTAAGGGACTTAAATAAACTTCAGGATATTGTTAAACTTTAAAGTGTGTTTCTTCGACGAAACGACTAATATCACCCTACACAATTAGGATCTAAATGGTCGAGCACTAATATGCTTCGATAAAACCCTTGCACGCGGTAATAAATGAATACACTTACGTCCTCAATACACCGTCATTCTTAACTTCTCCAGACATGCACACTGTTGTCAAAGTCAGGAAAGCTAATGCACTGTTGCTCAAATTCTTCAAATTTAAGATGGCTAAACTTCGACTGTACAAGACTTGTACAGGCCAGGTGTAGAATTACCGTTGTTTGCTATTCGGCAATGCTAGGCAGAGTGACACATCTGCACTAGGTCGCGTTCCGTATGCTTTTACAATACAGATCTTGGGTTCTACGCAGTTGCTAACACACTCCTAGTGCTACAAGTTGGTGAGGTTATATCTGCTATAGCAGCGTAGAAAAAGCTTAAACATAGCGTTGTTTAACGAATGAAAGCGTCAGTGCATGCAAACGCATGGATATTTCCCAAAGATGCAATAATATGAATACGAACTTTTCTGTGACTTAACGCATACCTGTAGTATAAATGCTGCGCAACTACATGTGTGTAAACGATTTACTCAATCAATGGCCAGAAATTTGCAAATTCTCACGCTGTCTATTAGATAGTGTGCACCTTCCTTGTAGGCATAAGAAAAGTTCATTTATTTCCAATGGATTTGCGACACCTCCAGTGTACTATGGCGGAAACAACGGTTTATCTGATGGAAACAAAAGGCGGAGTTTGCCATGTCCGTTATACACCAGGGTCATACATTATAGCCACAACTTTCCTGCCTAAGCTACGTAGTGAAAACGGACCTAATTTCAATTACCAAACCTTTAAATATTCATTAAGTTCTCGCCTTACTCAGCTAGGCAAACCACAAGGCTACAGTTCGTATAAATGGTCAAAATACGTATGCTGGTGTGATTTTTGTTGCTTGTTATGGGAGGTAATTTGTGCCCCTTGCCGTCGCGAATAGAAAGTATTTGGATTACGTTTTGTTACTCTAAATGATTTCCTCAAAGCACCCTTACCATGTATTTTGAAGGCATTTTGCCTAGCTGCAAACACAGCTATAGTTAAGCCGGAATCAACCTCGAAATTATAAGTAGGCCATATTGTAGTCGTTATAATAAAGTAAAAAGATTTTCGAGTGACCTAAATTCGTCTGAAACGAGACGACTTCCAGTCACTAAGAATGGTGTTCCAACATAGCCTTATAATTCACCGCAAATACACTCACAGTGATTGCAAAGCTCTCAGCATTGAGCCGAAAGCTTCTCCTAAATAGTAGATACGCCTTACTATAGCTGTTAAGTTATACCTATAATTATTTTTGTGTGACCAAATGTCGTTCAATAGGTGTCAAATTGGTGTCGCAAGGGCACAAATATTCCTAACACATGACGCTCAATAGTCACTCGCGAGCACCGGAATTACGACTTCCTAGAATATTATCGCATCTTAGGCAAATGATTGACATGATAAAGACGCGAAACTTTCGTTAAACGCGTACACATACTGCTATTTATTTTTAGTTTCTGTTTTGCATCTGCTTGTGACCGAAAGGACGTCATTTACGATGGCTGGCATTCCAACTCTGTGGACAGTGCCTATTGAAAAGTGACTGCAGGAAAACGTTAAGGCACCACCGCTTTATTTTTCAACCATGTTAATATGCTGTTTTACTAGACCACATTGAACTCAAAGTTGTTAAGCCTATATGGAAATCAACGTCTGAAGTTGAACCGGGTCCTCGTTTTTGCGTCCTATAACTCACTTGTATCCTGTCGTTAACCGGCCATACTAATCGCTAAGCCTGTATGTTCACATAGAAGCCCGTGATAAAGGACAAGCAATTACTCATTTTCTTCTACTTGCAATTATTTTGCACTGTTGCTTTCAAAATATTCCACAAGAAGCGATGGTTGCCATCGATAAGGTTGTCACATATACGCATCAGAAAACAAATAAACAAATAAGTACTATGTACAAAATTTTGTGTTTTCTTAAACCAGTGTAAGAACTTCGTCTCCCCTACGGAGTATGAAATAATTGTCGGCCTACTGACGATGTAGTGGATACATCCCTGACCCACCCAAACAAATGGCTACCTCGAATATGATAGGATTAGCTAACAAGCACTTCTCGTCTAGGTATGTTTACTCATTACATGGTGCTAAACACATCAATAGAAACTTCAATATTTTATCAAACATTTTACGCATAAAATTGCTAAAACACCAAAGTTGTGAAGTGCACTTTTGATATAACTCTTCAAGTGTTTATGATTGGAATGCTGAAAGCCAAAGCAGCATATCAAAGGATTACTTCGGAAGGTACACTTTTGGTTATTGTCTAAGAGAAAAGAAGCACACAGTCATCTTGCCGGGTTTAGTCTTCGAATAACAAATAAATTTCGCTAGATGGGCTGTTGGGGTGGACTGTCAGCCGCAGCAACGAAAACCTTTGTTATTCGCATCCGATCGTGTTGACATGTAAGCGGCCAACTTGATAATTTAGTACTCTTACTTTTATTGGCAACGTGATTTCATTAAATTACTCAGCT